GTAGAATGCTAAAAATGGCCCCTTCCTCTTTTTCTGATGTAACTCATCCCTAGCTCCTCATCCTCACGGACACAATCCTTATTTGAAACAGAAACATTCTGTTTAGGAAAACCCTACGTGAGCTTGAATTACAGTGATGAGGAGGAGGAGGAGTAAGATGTTTCCTCTCTTTAAAACACAGAAAAAGAGTGGAGAGATCCATTTAAAGGCAGTCTCCTCTTACAAGCAAAAGAGTTCACCAGACCTCCACCTGTTTCGGCATCCTTACTGTAACCAGAAGCATTAAAAGGGAGACTTTGTTTTAAGAAAGCAGACCGAAATCCCCTTATTCCTTTTGATAATTCATGAATAAGGGACGTTTGAAGGAATTACTGAAACGCATTTGTAAGGATGATGAATCCCAAAGTGTTAGCAAAAAAATTTGGGAAATATTCAATCATGCACATTTTGAGAGACCTTCTACCTGACTGCCAATGGGAAATACTTTACTGTTCCATAGAAAATGTGAGCTTCTGGGCAATAAAATATGTCCTATGTATTTTACAAATTTACAAATAAGGTTTTTAAGGGCTGCCCTCTTCTGCATTTTGAGAGAGAATTCTTACCTCTTTTAATAACTTCTAGAACTTCCATGAAATAGATAACATTATCATCTTTTTCTTCTATTCGAAGCAGCTTGGTTTTGTAGACTTTTAAGGAGAAAGACAGAAACAATACTCATTAAGACAGCTGATTATTGTTGATCACGAGTGGTGCAATCAGAGAGGCACAGGTGCTGCTAATTGTCTCTGGAGATTCCCATCCAGGTCATGGTTATCCCAAAGGTGCTTTTCCAAAAGGCAACTGGATTTCCTATCTTACCAAGAAAGTCCGGTTGCCTTTGGAGAAGCACCTTTGGGACTGCTAACCTTTCCACCTAGACTACGGGCACTTCCAGGCTGGATCTTCGTGGCAGTCTAGAATCCTCCAGGTGAGGCCGTTGAGTACTAGCTGCACTGTGGGGTTCATGGACGCAAATTGTGTATTTTCTCTCGAATGTTGCATTTCTGTGAGTCTGATGCTATTATCAGCCATGTGGGGTAGTCCAGACAGGACCTACGGCCAGATGGACTAAATTTACTTTATTGTAAGGTTGCATAAACAGAATCTTGCAAGTCTGAAACTACAGTACATTCCTTTGCCTTTTACAGTCCAAGAAACTAGGGAGGGTTTTTGGGGAGACATTTGCCCCACTTGAATTCCTTTTGTGTAGGCTAAGCTGCCCCTTGTCTAGCCATCTCCCAAGGCCATTCCCAGATACCATTACAGGTTTCTTGGACTGACCTTGGGAGACAGGAGGAAGATCTGCAGTCTACCTAGGCAACGGCTTGATGAGAGGCAGCTCAGTCTGTCAGTGTGGGGAAAACATTGGAAGAGTTTCAGAGGTGACCCTCCCTAGTTCTCTAGAAAATGGAAAAGGAGGATGGGAGAAATACTTTTAGTCTTCAGAGATCTGTTTAACGTAACTTCATGCTAAAGATCCTCTCTGACGTGCCTGGCTGCTCATCCTGTCAGGGCTATCTCGGAGGGCTAAGCTTCCAAGAAGTCCTTTCCCCCTTTTGTGAAAACGTTCACCTCCCTCCACTTCACGGCACTGTAGTGCTTAAACTCTGGGTTTTGAAGTTGGGGCCATGCAAATTACTGCACTTTGGCCTCATGCTGCTTTTGGAAGAATTGAGAGTGAAAACAATGAATGTGTAGAGCATGAAAATGTCCTCGGTCTTTTGGCTCTGCTTACTCATTGATGCAGGTCTATTTTTAGGAGCCATGAATTGTTATGCTACACTGGAAGGTCACTTAACACACCAACAAACTCTGAAGCTACCCTGACAGGG